AAAAGTAAAAGGAAAAAAAGAGAGTAAAAAAAAATCTCACTCACCCTTCCGTTTCCTCTTGACTCAAGTATTTTCGTACAGAGGGAGCGCCTGGCTGTTTCTGGCGTCTTACACTTTACAAAAAGCCGTTGGTGCATCAATCGGACCTTCGCTATTTATCACCGTTGCATGACACCTGCGCGTAGAGTAACGCAACATAGAGACGCCCTCCGAGAGCCAGCCCATCGAACCCCCTCATCGTACATAGGGGAGTTGTTTGAACCCCAGTCGGAAGGAAGAGACCCTGGCATTCGTCGAGTGAAGGTTAATACAACATCGGAGTACCAGCCTCGCCCCCCCACTACCCATTACCTACTCTGCTTGCTACCTGCCATTCCCATACTTACTTACTTTACTTGCCTTACTTTACTTATTTACCTTACCTTACTAGAAAAATCAAGCAAGCATTATTATCAAGCATACTACCAGTAAGCCGTTGCTTTCCGGATTACAACACACAACTCAGCAGCCCATAGAAAAGTCCAGAAAGAAACAAAGAAAGGAAGAGAGAGAGAGAAAGACGAAGAGCTTCTGGATAAACAGACACTACCAAACAACCAGCCTCCAGCCCCACCTTAGTTTTCACGAATGACTCCAGATACCGAGAGCAGGGCCGAGAGCTCACGCGGGACGGCCTCGCCCGCAGCCTCGTCGTCGACGTCCGCGGCGCCGGCCTCGCAGAACCCGACACATCCAAGCTTTCGGAGGTATGCTTCGATTCCTCGCCCTTTGACCTTTTGTTTTTGCGCAGAGGAGAGCCGGCGCAGAAGGGAGGGGGAGATTCGCTGACGGGAACCCGGTTTATTATTTGTGGCGCAGACAACGTGCGGCCAGAGCTTGTGAAGTGAGTGTCTAGAAAGAAACAATATTTGTGGGGCCGATTTCGTGTTGGAATGCTGCTCTTGCTTGAGAGGTCGTGGATGAAGTGATGTGAGGCTAACATTGATGCGATAGACATGCCACGCGAGAAAGGTACGGAATATTGAACTCTATGCAGGCCAACCGCAGCCAACGTCACAACCACAACGGTACTAAAGCTCAGGGCGATATTTAGGTCAGATGCGACGCAGCAAGTTTAGGTGTACCATGTACAAATTGTGTCGCATTCTCGATTGAATGCAAGATCCCGACCCCGAAACGCAAAAAGGTTGCAGGTGTGAAAGGCCGAGATGACGACAATGGGTACGACAATCAATACCTTCTATCTAGCTCAAGGGGAAGATCTCTGATAAGGAATTTTTTCTTTGTTATTTATATAGTTCAGAAAGACAGAGCTCAGTACAAGGCCCATCGCCGTCGCCGATAGAAAATACCCAGATGGATTTCAATAGAACGCCGCAAACCACTGTTTCCCCAGGACAAGACGGAACTCCGGCCGCCAATTTCCCAGAGGCTAAGTCGGCCCAGGTAATTACAGACTCGGCAACAATGACACAATTCATGAAGCCAAAGTTCGCCCGGGCACCCATCAAGGAAGCCGGAAGAGTCGCATATCTTGGTATTCTCTGTCAGGAGGGTTGAGCTGTCTAGCACCCAAAGCTGACAAATAGGCAGGCGAATCCTCAAATCTCAGCTTACTAGTCCATGACAAACATGGCACATCTGATGTCGTCCATTACCCTCTTCCTGAGAACATCCGTGGTAGTAGAGCTAGGTTAACAGAACTCGACACAATTGAGATTGACATCCTCCATCAACGAGGCGCATTCTTATTGCCGCCGAGGGCACTGTGTGATGAGCTAGTAGAGGCGTACTTCAAATGGATTGCACCCATAGTACCAGTAATCAACCGCTCACGGTTCATGCGACGATATAGAGATCCCAAGAATCCACCATCGTTGCTTCTTCTGCAGAGTGTGTTGTTGGCAGGGAGTAGGGTGTGCCAGAATCCGCAATTGATGGATACAACGGGGAGCACCACCCCGGCGGCAATGACATTTTACAAGAGAGCGAAAGCACTCTACGATGCAAATTATGAGGATGATAGAGTTACGATTGTACAGAGCTTGGTACTTATGGGATGGTATTGGGAGGGACCGGAAGGTGGATATTCTTTCTTGCCCGAACTACCGGAGGAGGAGGAGACTGACAATGGGGCTAGATGTAACGAAAAACGTGTTCTACTGGAGTCGGGTAGCTACAATTGTTGCCCAAGGCTCGGGCATGCACAGAAGGTTATACTCCCTGGAGGGGCTTCAACTATGTGATTTTTGTTAATACTGACATGCTATAGCGTTGAACACTCGCAACTCTCGCGGGCTGACAAACGCTTGTGGAAACGCATCTGGTGGACCCTTTTTACCCGTGATCGGATGGTCGCCGTAGCACTAGGTCGCCCCGTGCACATCAACACTGATGACTCGGATGTCGAGATGGTTTCCGAAGAGGACTTTCTAGATGACGAGCCTGGCTTCCCCGCCGAATACCCACCGGACCCACTCCATGTGCAATTCTTCCTCCACCATGTCAAGCTTTGTGAAATCATGGGTCTTGTGTTGTCCCAGCAATACTCTGTTGCAAGTAAAGCCCGTAGACAACACCAAATTGACCTCGTGCATAGCGATCTCGCACTGGCGGATTGGATGCTCCATGTACCTCCAGAGATGCGATATCACGTGGAGGATACAAGCCGGCAGAACTTCTGGGCGGCGTTGCTGCATAGCACCTACTATACCACACTGTGTCTGTTGCATAGAGCTCATATGCCACCTGCGACGACAAGTACAAATGGCGCGAGCTATTACACATCAATGGATGAAGCATACCCGTCACGGAATATTGCATTCAAGGCGGCAACGGCAATCACATCGATCATCGAGAATCTAATTGGCCACGACGAGCTCCGCTACTGCCCGGCGTTTGTGGTCTACAGTCTCTTTTCCGCGCTCATCATGCACGTGTATCAAACCCGCTCAACCAACCCTAGCGTCGTTGCCGAATCCAAAGAACGCATGAAGAAGTGTATGCAGGCGCTCAAAGAAGTCTCCAAGATCTGGATTGTCGCCAAAATGGTCTACACGCTCTTTGAGTCCATCTTAGGCAACAAGCACCTCGAAGAGCGCCTGCAGAAATCTGCGGGCAGGCGCCACCACAACAAGAAGCAGCAGCGAGTTGCCGCAGTCACTCCTACATCAGCTGCCCCTGCACCTACACCTACGCCCCCGCCGCCACAACCCCCGGTCTTGACGACAGAGCCAATGAAGCGCAAATTCGACGAAATGGACCTCGCCGGCATTCCCGCCGGCCCCGTGCCTACTGTCTCCTACGAGCGCTCACGCCCACAAACCCCTGTCCCGCCTTCGCTCATCCAGGACACCCTCACACCCTCGAGAGACACCTTCATGACCGGCACTCTTGGACCATCCACCCGCCCCACCACCCCCTTCCAGCCGCCGCTGAATCTTCCCCCGGGCACACCACCAGACCTGTACCTCGTCACCCGCTCCTCACCGCCCATCTCGCAGAGCCTGTGGGAGAACTTCCAGCCCAACCAGCTGTTCCCCGATGATTCGGGTATCAATTATCTCTCGCCGAGCCAGCAGAACCCGGCGCTGGATCCGCAGCTGACGCAGCAGGGGCTGCAGCCGCAGCAGCAGTTTGTGGGCGGGTTGGGTGGGTGGCCGAATCATTTTGAGGATATTGGGCAGGGGCAGCAGGGGAGTAGCCCGGAGGATACGTGGAGTAATAGTAGTAAAGGCGGGATTGTGCCGACGACGTTGAATGTGGAGGATTGGTATGTTTTCCCTAGAGTACTGGTGGGGGGATTGCAGGTTGCTAACGCGGTGTATAGGTTTAATTTCTTTGGCCTAAATGGAGAACTTAATACACTGGATAATGCTACACCGATGTAGGCTGATTGGTTGGTTGTATGTGCGAGGACTTGAAAGGGAAGGGGAGGAAGAGAGGGAGAAGTGGGAAGTAGGGGGGGGGGGGGGGAGCAGGCTTTAATCTTTATTATTTCCCCATTTTTTTTATGAATTCTCGAGTCTCTACTTCTTTTTTCATTTCGTGTAATTTTACTTTTTTCTCGGGTTGGTTGGGGTTTTTCCGCGAATTTAAAACAAAAATATGGCTATTTCTTACAAAAAAGCGCAATAGAATGAATATATGACCTTCACGGATTATCACTCGTGCGGAAATGATAAAGTGGTAGGTCTCCCACGATAATATATGCGTTAAGAGAATAATTGTATAAGTCTTTCTTATACACTGAGCTATTCTTTCGTGTCTACTATTATTAATAGCGGAATCCTGGATTATTCATTGGCACCATTGGCGAATAGTCTTTCTATTCTCTCATTGATTCCGTAGCCTATAGACAGGGCTTAATCTTGTAGACATGTATTATTTGCTTAATTCAGCGTATCAAGCGTTTTAGTCTGCCAGTAGGGGCTTGCTCAGTTATATAAGGCGGACTCCAGTTTACTTGGGGTCTAGCTTTGGAATCGACATTTGGAGAGGGAGCTTCAAATTGGGTGTTACTCTTTCTGATACATCTATTTCCAAAACCCCAGCACCACGTAGTTTGTAGATGATCGATAACCCAACCTCATGTAGGTGCTATTTGGTGTGTGGGTTAGGGTTGATTCGAAGACGACCGGTGCCAACACAGGCACTGCTGGTCAAGTTCAGTTTGTCTACGGATATATGTACAATTACCTAGAGTTTAGTCCAACAGCCTGGGCTTTGAAGGGCCACTGTAGTTCTTTCTGCCCGTTTTCTGTTGGATTTATTGACTGTGGGGTCTTGATCTCTTGAATTAGAGAGCGTGGGGGACATGCAGCTAGTGGTGGGGGCCAATAAGGTGTCAGGGTTAGGGGACCAATGCAGGGTGCATACTTAGTTGGAGATCCAACCAACCACCAAAAGCTAGCAGACCTCAAGTCTTCAGGAATAGACAGAACACACACACACAGTTCTATTCCCATTCCCGCCAATTGCACACCAAAAACACCACAGCCATGTCCTTCACCCCTACCACCGCGATCGCGACAGTCGCAGAAACAACCCCCACCCCCGCCAGCAACAGCATCCCCGCCTCTCTCCCGCCGCCAGAGTCCACACACCCAGAGCACCAGTACCTCTCACTCGTACGCCGCATCCTCACCGAAGGCGAGCACCGCCCTGACCGGTACCTCCACCCCTCCCTCCCCCCTCCCTCCCTCTGCCCCCAATTGACCAACAGCACCGTACTAACACCCCCCCCCCAGAACAGGCACAGGCACCCTCGCCCTGTTCGCCCCCCCACAGCTCCGCTTCTCCCTCCGCAACAACACCTTCCCCCTCCTCACCACCAAGCGCGTCCACACCCGCGCCATCCTCCACGAACTCCTCTGGTTCATCTCCGGCTCCACCTCCTCGCTCCCGCTGTCCGCCCTCGGCGTCAAGATCTGGGACGCAAACGGGTCGCGCGCCGCGCTCGACAAGCTCGGCTTCACGGACCGCGCCGTCGGCGACCTCGGCCCCGTGTACGGGTTCCAGTGGCGCCATTTCGGCGCCGAGTACCGCGGCCCCGACGCGGACTATGCGGGGCAGGGGGTGGACCAGCTGGCGGCCGTCATCAATACGCTCAAGACGAACCCGTATGATAGGAGGATTATCATGAGTGCGTGGAACCCGGCGGATCTGGGGAAGATGGCGCTGCCGCCGTGTCATATGTTTGCGCAGTTCTATGTGGGCTATCCCGGCGGGAAGGGGGGTAGGGGGGAGCTGAGCTGCGTGCTGTATCAGAGGTCGTGTGATATGGGGCTGGGCGTGCCGTTTAATATTGCGTCGTATGCGGCGCTGACGAGGATGGTGGCGGGCGTGTGTGGGTTGGATCCCGGCGAGTTTGTGCATACGATGGGCGATGCGCATGTGTATGTGGACCATGTGGATGCGCTGAAGGTGCAGGTGGAGAGGGAGCCGAGGCCGTTTCCGAAGTTGGTGGTGAGGGAGAGGAGCGGCATTGATGAGTATGTGTTTGAGGATTTTGAGATTGTGGGGTATGAGCCGTGGCCGGCGATTAAGATGAATATGAGCGTTTAGACCGGGGTGGGGGGTGGTTTGGCTTAGTTTAGAGGGGTTTGGGATGGTTTTGCTTTTAATGATACCTGAACTGCATCGAATGGATTGATGCCAATGATCGATATTCCCGAAAATTTATAATAGTGACCTAACTACATGTATAGAAACTGCAGCCTTACTCTATCAGTACAAGGCCCTATCCTATCCGCCCGCAGAGATTAGTATGCATTACTACTACATGTAGTGTAACCAAAAGGGGCCCACTCCCAAATTTCCCGCACAGCAATCATTTCCGCCCACCACCAACCACTTAAGCCCACGGCCTTCCCGGGGCCAAGTTATTGTCAGGTTCCAAAAATAACCGGTGGTGCACCTCACGACAACGTCGAAACCCGCTTCACCCAGCAACCAGGAGAGCAATTGAATAATTTTTAAGTCTCCTAAACGGAGCTAGATGCTTGAAAAGAATGGACTTATATACCCCTCTGACCTCGGGGGGGTCTCGGTGTGAGGTTTCTTCGCGGGACAGTTTTGGTTGCTATGGGTCTCACGGGATGCTAGTGATCGGTTATCTTCTGGAACCAGGCAATACATGCACGCGTGCATGTGGTTAACACACAGTTAGTACACGTAGTTTATCCGGTGTGTTATCCGGAAATGATAAGATCAACCCGCTGCTAGCTGAAGCAGCAGCAGCAGACCGGGGTATGATTTACGACCTGTGGTTTTGGATTTGGGGTTTGGTTGGCGTGGGATATGTAAGTGCGTGGTGGATGTTGGGAGGGAGTCATGGACTATCACTCACCCACCCGCCCGCCCGCCTAATCCGTCACGGCACTAGCAGCGGGGCCGACCGACTGGCCGGCTGACCGACTGATAGTACGTAGCGGGGTTTGTGGTATCAATGCTAGATAACGATAGCGATAATGGCGGTGGCAATGGCAATGATGATGTCAATGGCAATGATCATGGTGCTAATATAATAATTACTACCTACCTACCTACCTCCACAGCACACCCCGCACCCCAAAACGCAAGGAAACACTACGAAGGAGGCAATATAGTATAAAAAAGAGGTCCCATCTAATTTGACTTAACCTACAAAAAAAAACCAATGATCAGAGTAACAAATGAAACAACAACTTTCGAGCGAGAGAGCGAGATAGTAGTAGAACAGCAGATAGAAAGAAAAATGCCACCAAAAAAACACACAAAACAAAAGGAACGAGGGTTGAGGATTGATTAGACTGCAGCAAACGCGGAAATGGAAACGGAAACGGAAAAAAGATGCATAGGATAGGAAAGTAAACAGATACAGATGGATGAAAAAAATAACCCCCTAGTACGCCGCGGACAGAAGAAAGACAGAGCAGAACAGAGCAGAACAGAGCTACCACCTAGACAAAAAGAAAAGAGAAAAAACAGCTATAAAAAAAAAGAGGAAGGGCCCCACTACAACACCTTCCTCCTCTCCCCCTCCCTCCTCGGTAACCGCTCCCTCACCACCCTCCTCTCCACGCCCGTCCCCCCACCACTCCCACCCCCCGCAGCCCTTCCACCTCCCCCTCCACCCCCACCACTCCCACCACTAAAGCTCCTCTCCATCCCCTGTCCCCCACCCTCATCAAACCCCAGCCGCTGCGTCAACTCAATCAAATCCCCACCCACAAAATCCGACGCCTTGACCGTCCACCGCCTCACGAACCCCTCCACAACACTACCAACATTCTCGAGCCCCACGGCCGTGTCCTGCGCGAGCTCGCTGAGCGTCTTGAAGGTCGGCCCGATGGTCACCGTCTGTTCGCTTGTGTGGCCCCCACTGTGGCCCCCATGGTGGGTGTGCGTGGTGTGCGGGTGCAGGTCGCCGACGCCGGCGGTCATGCCCCGGAATACGTCGGCCGGCGGGTCGTCGGAGGGGGGAGAGACGCTGTGCGTGTGCGTGTGGGTGTGGGTGTGGGAGCGCCGCCGCCGCGGTGGGAAGTGCGAGAGTTTTTTGCGCGGCAGGCGTGCAATCTGGACGGTGCCGACGTGGGGGATGGTGACATATGAGTGGTGCTTGTAGCGTCTCTGCTTGTCCCCTCCATCTTCCCCCTCCCTCGCCCCTTCTCCATCTGCTCCCTTCTGCCCCTCCGCCTGCGGCGTCGGCGGCGGGGCGGGGACGGTGGCCCCCTTGGTCCCGCACTCATCAACAGGCAGCAGCAGCGTCTTGCGGCTGCCGACGCCGTCTTGCGCCCACATGCCGTTTGCGCGGCGTAGGGCGTCGCGGCTGGTGTTGTATGTGATTGCGATGCCTTCGAGCGTGTCGGTGGGCTTCACGGGGTGCACGTAGACCAGTGTTGACTGCTCCTCCCCCTCCTCCTCGGGGGTGGTGTCGGGGTCGGGGGATGTGGCCCGTTTGTGCTGCGGGGGGTGGGGGGCATCGTCGCGTCGGCGGCCGCGGCGCCGTGGGTGTGTGCTGCTGCTGCTGGGGGCGGGGGCGGGGTCGTCGGGTGGGGCGAGGACGCTGGTGAGCCACTGGACGCCCCAGGTGCTGGTGGTGCTGGAGGTGGAGGTTGTGCGGCTCATTGCGGTGCTGCCATTGCCGCTGCCGACGCCGCTGCGGGAGGAGGCGGTGCGGGACATGGCGGTGGTGGTGGGGGGGCCATGGGGGGCGGCGAGGTTGGGGCTCTTGCTTTTGCGGCGGGTGGGGGTGGGGCGGCGGAGAGGGGGGTGGAGCTGGTTGTGGTGGTGGTCGTGCTGGTGGATGGGCGGGGCATCCTAGCTATAGCTAGCGGCGGGGCGGGGAGGGGGATGGGAGCGGGGGGCGGCGATGCATGTAACGATGCTGCTGCTGCTGCGGTGTGTGGGGTGTGTGGGTGTGGGTGTGGGTGTGGTGGTGGGTATTGGGGTTGGTGGTGGTGAGGTGAGGTGAGGTGAGGTGAGGTGAGGTTGTGAATGGTTAGTTGTGAAGAAGAGTTGAGTTGTGGTTGAGTCTGTGTGTGCCTGGTTGTACTGTGTGTGGCTGTAGCTAGGGTTTGGTGTTTGGTGTGGGCCGGGAGAGCTCGGATAAAGAGCTGTGTGTTCTGTGTGTTCTGTGTGTCTGTTCTGTGTCTGTTCTGTCTGTTCTGTCTGTTCTGTTCTGTCGGTCGTCAGTCAGGTACGAGGGGTCGATCGCTGCAAAGGCAAAGGCAACTGCAACGGAGATCTGGGACCTGAATTGCTGCGGGTTCTGGGGGGTCTGGCTGCCTGTTTGTCACGAATGCTGCCAAACAAACAAGCAGAGTTTTTTTTTCCTCTTCCTCTTTTTCCCTTTTCTCCTTCTGTCTTGTCCCGTGAGGGTTAAAAAAAAAAAAAAAAAAAAAGCACAGGAGGAGGCACGGGTGTGTGTGTGTGCGGGAGGTAGTAGCAAGGGAAGGTGAGTACCAAGTGCAAGGGAGCGAGGGAGCGAGGTAGAGTAACAACGGTACAAGAGAGAAGAAGAGGGCGGAGTGGGTGTTAATTACGAAATCTCTGTCTAACTAGCTGCGCTGGGTGGATTGACCGGGCCTGAGCGGTAGCGCCTATTAATATGGCCTGGCTGGCACAGCTAGCACTCTACTCTAGCTACTAGGTGCAATTAGAGTAATTTGTCTGTCTATCTTTCTGTCTGTCTCGATAACTACATGCATCGCCCGCCGTGTGCTGCAATTGGGGTTTGCTGTGTGGTTTACTTATCGGCCCGCGAGCAGAGGCTCCTCCTGATACTGGTCTTGGTGCAGATAGCTAGGTGTTCAGAGTCTCTCTCTGCTGTGTGCGGTCGGCCCTGCAGACCCGATCGAGGGGGAGCACCAAGCTAGTGCCGCGCTGGGAAAAGCAATTATTGGATGCAGGCCCGGCCCCCGGTTACTCTAGGAAGGGAGGTGGGGGGGGGGGGGAGGCTTGGCGCGGTATATGCTAAACAGTGGTACCGGTTGATTAATTAATTTGTAGATACTTACTTGGCTGGAGGTTATATGTGTAGTGAGAGGGGTATATGTGTGGTGAGAAGGGTATATGTGTAGGTAGGTAGGTAGGTAGGTGGAATTGGGTTTGTGGGGGCGAACGAAAGATGGTGTTTTGTACTGGAAGTTGCGGGTTGTAGGGGTGCATCCGGCCTTGGGTTTCAGTAGAGGGACAGAACAGACAGCTATACCTATTCTATGCGTAGAATACAAGACGGCCCTATGGCCGTATTTTCCAGGGCACCCCAGTATCAGACTGTCTCCAATTAACCCCCCCTCCCCATCCCATCGTGGCTCCATTACGTAACACAGTAGGCTCGAGTGATAGCTCATGAAGAAAGTCATCCCAACTCACCTGTGGTGGATGCTGGACTGTGTCAATGGTGAAGTAGCTTGCTACTATGAAGTAAGGGGATGGGTACGATAAGCCCGTGTCTGTCGTCTGTGGATAGGGGGCGTCGATGGGTTGGAATCTCAGAGAAATGTTTATTTTAATAATAGAATAGAACTGAGGAGGTAGAAGAAAAGAAGAAAAAGGTGTTCAGTTTGAGAGTGGATATAAGCGGGATTCGGACTGTCATCATAAGTTTCCTAAACCGGAGGCGTAGACCACTATAAAAACAGAACTTGGAAGGACTGCGTGGTGGGGAAGATGGTAAACGCACACGTAGACGTAGACGTAGGCTCGTCCCCAACCTGTCTACTTTCACGCCCCCAGAGGACGCTTGCTGTAAGTAACGGGCTGGGTATGAGACTAACTTAGACGTAGTCTCGTACCCATCCATCCCGTATTTGCACTGCCAGGCTAGCTGCTCACCAGTTGGGCCCAACAAGCCGTCTATACTTGTATGCCCCACTACCCCGCCATCCATCCATCCATCCACCCCTCTTCTCACCATCCCTCACCGACACTTTTTTCATCCACTCATTTATCTTCGACCATTTCTCGACAGCACTTCCTACCATCACCATCGCCACCACTATCACCACCACCACCAACAACAACCAACAAAGCCAGAGTCAATGGAGGTATGCCAACAACATCACTGCTGATGGAGATGATGTACTAATGCTCTTTCAGATGGACAGAGATCGGTGGCGGAGAGGTGGATGGAAATGAAGAGTTGTATGTGCACCCTTTTCTCAGGTAGAGTCGCTTCTCGTCTTTTATTTTCTTTACCATTGTGTTTTCCCCGCCGTGCCTTTTCCTCTGTGGCTGTTATGGTGTTTTATCCCATCCTCCTCATCTCTCTACCATATTGCCTTTACGGTGCGTATCTCCCGCATGTCCTCTCCTGCGTATGGCACTACTACCTTATTTAGTCTTTCTTTATCCATCTCCATCTTCCTTGCGTTGTCTCTGCAACATCTTTCTCTCCTGTGTCCTTCCATGCTCTTCACCACCATGATTCCCTCTGTTGTGTACTTCGATACCCGTCTTCTGCCCTTTGCACACTCTTTTGTGGTTGTGTTTAAGCCTGCTCTTCCCGAGTCATCTTGGTCGTTTCTTGTTTTTTTCTTTCTTTCTCAACAGACACTGTATCGTATCTTGAAGCTGCGCTAACGCAATTTCTAGATCCAGAAAGTCAGCCTACATGTAGCTCTGCCAATCTATCAGATAGAAAACGCCCGTATTGGAGCTTTGGCGCTAGCGGGATGCTGTCAGAGGTGGGGTCAGTCCAGTTAAAGCAGTCGGTTTATCTCCATTTTCCCTTTTTTTTCTTGGGTCCTGCCATGTTTTTTCTTCCCAGTTTCTCTTGATAGTTCCTCTTCATATTCCCGCCTTTACTATTCTTACCGCACATATCTGCAGGCCCAATCCTAGTCCATGTTTTATTGCTTTATCCTTTCTTTATATACCCTACTATATTCTTGGTTATTATTGCCACCGCGTTGTTCTCTATATATTCCCCATCCCTTTACCCATTTCTCCATTTCTCCGCACTCTTTTTTGTTCCCTAAATGTGTTTCTCCTCCTCTATCCTCTCGTATCATTTTCCTAGGCATGATATTTACCTTTCACTGCCATACAACGACGCCCCGCAGCGTATCCCAGCGCACTGCAAGCTTTATCATGTAGGTCCAGGATTGCTGGCGGCAGAAATACTGTGTGTCGTAAGTCGATACTTGTGTCTTCAGCTTTGCGGGCTTTTCTTGCTATTCTTACTCCATCCCCACCCCATTCCCATTCTCCTTCAATATATTTTTCATATCTTCCCCCAGGAGATCCACAACCCACACCCACCCTCTCCGTCTAGATCCAACTACATGCAATAAAGTTCTCACATGGTCATCCCGCATATACAGCCCCAGATTCACCACTAGCACCCGTGATCCTGTAGTATGTGTCGCGCGTCATGGTTGGTTACGCCCTTGCGCTGCACACCAGATGTGCGACGCATTGCTGGATGATGGGGTGCTTTTAGGTGAGTCTGGTGGGAGCGGGATTGGGAGTGGGGTCTGGGGGGTGGTGGGCGTTCGATATAACTACTCGTTGGAGAACCAACGATAAAGGGTTTAATGGCTATTCATAAGGGTTAGAGTTGCTGGATGATGGGGTGCTTTTGTGTGGTTCTGGCGGGATCGAGTCTCATGGGTGAAGATTATGGGGGTCAGTGGGATAGTGGTTTCAAGTTAATGGGTGGTCACCTCAAGATAACTAGTAACTGCTTTTAGAGCAGCCAACTATAAAGGTTTACTATATAACGATCAGAGCTGATTATCTGGGGAATGCTACCCAGTAGTCACTCTTATTGGTGAAGATACTGATAAGGAACTTGGGATGCTGAATATATTTATTCCACAGGAACATCTCGTGATCCAGTAGTATGTGTTACTTTCCTGTTGTCGTTTCTGTGACGATGCACCAGACAAGTGAGACTGCTGGATAATGGGGATGTTCTTGTGTGGATATGTTAGACTTGGGAACCTCAGTCTATAAACGAAAGGGTTCGAAAAGACTCGATTATAAGTACAGTTCTGCAGCTTATATGGACTTGAGGTGGCCACCCGATACTCCTTGGACCGGTGGCAGCGCAGAGCAAAAAGTCACATAATCTCTTTTGCTGGTGAAGATGCTACCTTATATATGGCTATCAAAAAGAAGTTTGAACGAGAAAAGGGAACAGATCCGGAGGGAATTGGCCACGATATCGACCAAGTGTGGATAATTCGGTGGCTTCAAATTAATTACTCCTAGGGTGTGGAACGAACAGCTCTTCCTGGAAAGATTTATAGCCATCGACGAACAACTAACTAAGTAAGAACAGCTTCTCATTGCCAGAAATGGGGGTTAAAGATGTATCGATCTACTAGTGGAAGAGATATAGCTATCTACCGGTAAACAATATTTTCGGTGTTAGCTGATGTTTTATGGATTTAGTTCCTGTGAGCAACAGGCCTAATAAGTATAGGTAGTGGGGAATGGTTCTATACACTAAATATCTGGGAAATATGTATTATGCTGCAGCGGGATTCCGCACGTTAGATGCGATGGGGCGGACGAAGTGGTCTTGTCGTTTCCAAGCCCGCACTAATCATAACTACCATATCTCAGGGTCGTAGCCAAGGATATACGACTTAGCTTATCATCTCTCTATCCACGACTGTAGTCTGGCCCTGCTAGAGATCTGTTTATAGGAAACACCAAAACCATAATGAGAGCGGGCATCAGAGGACTTCAATACCCAAGGATATCGCTGATATATGGACAAGTTCAAGTTTGGGCGTATGGCGACAACGTGGCTGGAAGCAAACACCCCATGCTTCGTCATGGCTAGAAACTGCGGAGGCATGCATATACAAGACCTTCACCAAACAGAATAGGCCCAAGACAAAAAAAGCTGGTGTCAGTCCAAGATTACAAGCGACCCAAATGACTGCGCCTAAACCCTGTCTTTGGCAATCATTAGGATGCATATAGCTATACTCGATACTCGCACCAGCACAGAGATATCTAGAGGCGGCGAGGGAGTAGAACGGCTATTCATACAGGATATAGGAAACATATCACCGCAGGGATAATGTTATACACTGCGAGTGAAAGAGTCTATACGACTGCAGTTGCCGTATTTGCCAGGAGATAGCTGAAGCTGGCACAAAGGCACAAGAAACCTGTTATAGACTGCTGTACAAAATAATAATAAAATAAATAAAAATAAAAAAAATCAATAGTAATAGCCGCTACAGAACATAAGCCGAAACTTCAGCTAGCTACTATAATACACCCTATTTTCTTAACGCAACCCCCCCAAAAAAAAACCCTGGGTTTCGGTTTCAGGGTGGATGAAAGGGCTTAAATAAGTGAATGAGACATACCCAATAAGAATATCAAAAATAAAAATCAATAAACAGACTAAAACTAAAAGTCCGGGACACTTTCCAAAAACGGTGGGCCTCACTCGTGGTGGTGGTGGTCTATCTAGTAGAATTCCAATCACAAATCATCACTCGCTGCCCACTACTCGCAACATTAGGTCAAGTATATCTGTCTGTACCGTGTTACTAGGATAATATATTGCAACTCTAGCAAAGTCCTGGAATGCGGGTTTGAGATGCGGGTAAAATCTTGAGGGCCGTTGCATGGTGCTAAATAAAGCCGGCCGGGAGACTCTTGGTTGAAGCTAGGTAGGTACTGTGGATTAAGACGCCCTGGCAGATTGTGTGAATCTCTAAACAGGGGCTCTCTATGGTATATCCGGCGCAGGTTTGATCGTGAGACGTTTCTACGGATATAATGGATCGAAAGAGCACTCCCGTTTAGGTCATGGGGCTGGTTTCCCTATCTATCTAGTTAGTCCGTTGAATTATCGGACGACAGGGTTTGGGATTTGTGGGCGGGGGGTTATATAGCTATTACGAACCGAAAGCAAAGTTCCTCCTCTTTCTTGCGCCGGAAGATGAGCATGGGGGATATACATTCCAGAGCATAGCATACATAGCTGTTAGGCATCTAGAGTAGACGCTACCCTGGTTTTTGATAACGGTGTCTCTAGCTGGATCTGTGTTGCGCAGTGCTACCAAATATCCATGGACTCATGAAGGTTAATAGGCATAACACTCGTACACGTTTGTAAGGGTTCTGGCTAATGCTCTGCTCTAAATGTGCTTTGTCTAGCTACATTATACTTAATTAATGTGCGGAGAGGACCCGGTTCTAAGATTCTGGTGCGGATACTACGGTCGACCCCAACTTTTCATACACATATGCCTTTGGATATCATTTCTTATCATACAAGTACATCAAAAAAAGGAGAGCTACATTACACAGGCCTAGGGGTATAGGTATAGGCTACTCAAAAGCACCACTCACTCACTCACTCACTCACTCACTCACTCACCCCCGCCAACTCCACCAACGCAGCCTCAAACGCCCTCACGGCACCAGCCAACACCCCCTCCTCTATAATCCCCTCCTGCACACAAACACAAACACACATCTCCCCGCCCGCCACACTCACCACACTAAACTCCACCGCACACCCGGTCACACTCGCACTCTGGCTAAATATGGCCCTGCTAATGCCCCATCCACCCTGCTCCTCAGAGGTATTCTTGAGCACCCCCAGATTGGACACCTCGATGCTGTGCTCCCTCCGCGTGCCTAGCTTGCCCAGGAAATACTTCTCATAGTCGCTCAGATACTTGAGCAGCCCCGTATCCGTATCCTTCGTCCCCGCCTCCACCGCCCTCCGCAGCACCGCCCCACACCGCTTGGCCACCGCCCACACATCCGCCGTCGCCTCGCGCTCATGAACCACCGGCACAGAGCACACCAGAACGCCCATCGTGTCCTCCCCCGCGCCGGGTATAAACCTCCTCATATCGATGGCCGCCGTCGTCGACAGCGTCTGCCACCCCTCCTCCCCCCCTTCCTCCAACACGCCGAAAAAAGCCCTCGCAAGCACCGCCTGCAGCAGTGCCGTCACCGTTGTCCCCTCCCGCCGACACGCACCCACCACACCCGCCACTACCCCCGCTGGGAACACAACCGTCCGGATAACGTTCTTGAGCGGGATCTGGATCGGCCCACCGCTCCAGTGCCCTGCCGCCACCACAACAGCGGACTTTAGGGACCAGAGCAGTGACCACATCCGTGACATGGACGTCGACAGCGACACGAGGCCTTCCAGCGGCGGGGGCAGTGGTAGCTCCGGCGGCACAACCACGCTGTCCACCTCTTCTTCCCCCTCCCCGTGCGGCGACGGGGAATTCAGGGCGCGCAGCAGCGCGCGGTGGAACGCGAGGCCTGTGGCGCCGTCGCCGAGCGCGTGGTGGTAGATGAAGGCCAGGTCGACGCCGCGACCGGCGGAGTCGGGCGTGTGTGGAGTGATGAGGACGAGGCGCCAGAGCGGGAGGCGGCCGAGGTTGTGGAACTTTGTGTTGTGCTGTGAGGAGAGGATGCTGTCGAGTTCGGCGAGCTCGGCGGCGGGGGAGGTTGTGGGGGCGTGTAGGCGGGTGGTGGTGACGAGGTCGTTGAGGTCGACGGTGGGGAGGCGGGCGAAGGTGGGGTGTGGGGTGTGTTCGTTGAGGACGGTGGTGGTGAGGTGGGGGTGGGTGGTGAGGAGGGTTGTGAGGGCGCGGTAGAGGGTGGGTTTGGTGAGTGGGGTGGAGGTGGGGGTGGTGTAGCGAGCGGTGATGATGACGTTGATGTAGAAGCTGAGATTGTGACGGACGGTGGACCATTTCTCGAGCATGCCTGGTGGGGCGGGGGGGGGGGGGGGGTTAGCTGGGGGCTTCCGAACCAGGACGGGAGGCAACAGAGGGTCTTCTTACCAACTGGGCGGAGGGGCTGGGCAATGTTCTCCGTCATTGTGGGCGTGGTCGTGGTGGTGGTGGAGTTGGAGTTGGAATTGGTGGTGCTGTGTGCTGCTGCTGCTGCTGCTGCTTCCAGAGAGAAGTCATGGCCAGGAGCTGAGAGAGCTCCCCTTCCCTTCTTTAACAACTTGCTATCCTCCTCTTCTTCTACCCGGGTTGCTAACTAATTGGCATCCCTGCAGGCTTCCGGGATGGATGGAGAGTACCTGCATAATTGGCGTTGCTGCCCAGCCGCGGAAAGCGCAGGGGTGCATATTGTATTATTCGAGAGACTTTCTATATACATGTATGTACGGCGTGGAGTAGCATCCGGGCCGAGCTAGGGTGGGGTGGGGGGAGCATGTTGATTGCATGTTGATTGTGATGTGATGTGATGTGATGTGATGTGATGTGCTTGACTCGATGATACATGTACAGGTATCTGCCGATATGTTCGGTACATGTAGTTAACATGCATTAACTAGATGATGACCTTTTGTAGGAGGTGTCTCGGAAGTATCGATCGATGGTGATGATGATGCTATTATATTGGGAGGTTCGGAGGGATCCAACCTCCCTTAAATACTACTCTACCAGCGTGTCACAATGACTACACGTCTCCTCTGCCACGACAGTCGTGACTGCTATTGTACACATTGCATAGTTAAACGGTCGAGACTACAGCATTACAACATGACTGACAAGCACAGCACTAAAACTACATACCACTCACTACATGTACATACCAACATGCCAGACAAACACAACCTACATGTACCTACCAACCAGGGCGACAATTTCAACCCCGCCCCTAGGCCTGCCGCCTTCACGTTCACGATATAACTACACCGTACTGCCGGCCCCTGGGTCCTCCAGGACGGAATTAACTATCTACAATTAACCTACACGTATTCTTCGCCCCAACCCAAAACCAAGGGTGAATGGCATGGACACGGACGGCAATTGCATACCATACCATCATGCCAATGCCAACCAATACCCCGTGGAACCACGACTCGACTCGGTATCGATATCTACATGTAGCTACCATATCCATATCCATATCGTCCCCGAATTAAGCAAAGCATGCACTAGCACCCGTCAATTATACAACTATGTACATACCCAACAAAGATAAAGGCACCCCAGCCGACCACTGACCACGCACCAGAAAGAAGAACCGGCAGGGATGGAGAACAAAACAACCGGCCAAAAACGCATCCCTCTTCTAGCTAGCCAGAACAATCCAATATCAGCTTTCCGCAAGCCTCGCTGGCTATATCCAACAGCCGTACTGTGTCTAATTGTGCTCCCAGTTGCCTCCATAGAGGGAGTTAACCAGTCGAGTGATAGCTCATGATCCGACACATCTATTCCAGATACCGGGCAGGTCTGGGCTGGCTAGCCCATGGCCCATGGGTAGGTTTGGGTAGACATAAGAAGGCTTTACAGAGTTGTACTATTGGGCGAGAAGAGATGCAAGAGGAGAACATATCGGCCGGATGTGGACTTCATGCCCTGCAGGTATGGAGGTGCATATGAATATACATTGATATCACGTGTCGTGGAGTCATTTCACGGAGGCGGGGGGTCGGTGACTCTAGACTCAAATTGTATTTATTACCAGCCCAAAATCCACTTACAATTGCAATTGTCACATTTGATACGCATATCACACAGTCGAGACTAACAGAGAGTATACATATCCACAGCTATATCCACTTCCACTCGATAAACATCCCTAAATCGAACTCACCAACAACACTAAAAAAGGAAAGAAAAAGGGGGAAAAAACTACATACATATATTGCAAAAAAATGGCCGAAATACCCACTGGCAGCACCACGCTCAAGCTCACAGCCCTCATCCAAGCCACAGCCCAGCTCATCTCCCAGCTACAGCTACATCAGCGGGGTACCTCGCTCACCAAAGACCCTCTACGAGCTCACCGACGAGCTCCACGCACTCATCAAGATCCTCGCCATTCTCCGGGACCATACCGAGGGTGCTACATTAAAAACAGATAGTGCGAGCCTGGGAGCCATTCTCGCAAGATATGGGCTACTTGAGAAGTGTAGTAGCGAGTTAGACGATCTTCGTAAGAGTATCGAGCCGGATGGAGGAGGGTTTAGGGGTGTGGTTTGTGATGGCCCAAGATGGCCGTTTGGGGATGTGAGGACGTCGGAGTATATCTTGGTGGTGGGGAGACTTCGGAGCTTCTTTAAGTGTGCACTTCTTAGGGATGATAGGTGAGCTGTAATGGATCTTATTATACACGAGGTTGTGTGTAGCACGCAGGATGATACTAGTGTAATGTTGTCATTTTTCTTGGGAATATCAGTGTTATTTCAGCAAACCTCTCGGCCCATATCAAGAGACACGAAAGCTTAATTAGAGATATGGTGAACGATGAGGATGTCCATGGGCAGATGCCACTCGAACTGGCAGTTTCTGGGGGAAACTCAGATGTCGTGCGGATGCTGCTTGCCGCAGGTTCAGATGCGAGGGTCGAAATAAATTCCGATATGACACCACTGGGCACGGCGGTGAGAACGGGAAACTACGAGATTGTGCGGATGCTTATTGAACACCACGCAGTCCTGTCGGTGGACGACCCTTTACTGCACATGGCAATATACAGCCGGAACACAGAAATTGTAAAGCTGCTCATAACCCACGACGCTCCACTACAGAGACATGTCACCGCTGTTCTTTGCAATCCACAAAAATCTCATGCTCAAGGACATAGCAGTCCTACTTATAGAACACAGCCCACCAAGTGTCATCTCGGGGATCAACAGATGTGACCGTGCTACGCCGCTGCATGCGGCACTGCACAAACCGGGGTATGAGGACATCGTGCGCCTACTGCTGGACAAGGGAGCAGCCGTCTCGACACACCACTCTCTCTTCAGCACCCCAGCGCACGTAGCGGCGTCCCAGCCGAGCGAGCAGAACCTACGCATGCTCCTGGATAAGGGCGCGGATGTATCGGCCACGGGCCGCAGGGGCAACACGCTACTCCACGAAGCGGTAAAAAATGGCCAGGAGGGGAATGTCAGGTTGCTGTTGGCTAGGGGCGCCGATGTGGCGGCGCAAAACAGGCGGGGCAATACACCGCTTCACATAGCGGTGTATCATGGCAAAAAGGTGATTATAAAATTGCTGTTGGACAGCGGCGCGGATGTGGCTGTAAAGGGCTTTAAGGGCCTAAAGCCGTTCGAGATGGACCGGGCTCGGTATGATTATCGAAGAGCGCGTAGGTTGTACGAGACGGATGACGAGGTGGATGAGGAGAAAGATGCAATATCTATGGAGAGCCTTTGGGCTATTTAGCTGTTGATTGCATTAGGCGAGTATATCTAGATGAAAATAGTCATAGGAGGGGAGATACATAGATCTACGAATGTATCAATTTCTATATCTATATACATCCATAGCGGGCATCTAGCTTCTTATCAATACGAGATGCTGGATATCTCAATGTATGGGCTTTTGGCGGAAAACACACACAGGTCCCCAATTCATGAATTGACTGGCTTAAACTAGAGACTAGCGGATGATACTCTTCTGTTCGTGGCGTGAAATCTCGGCCTGATGGTTATCGTCAAAACCCCACATTATTCAGGTAGGATGGCGAGATAGAAGAAGGCATTGTAGTACATACAAAAGAGTGCTCTACGTAAGCCAAGAGCAATGTTGAAAAAGCAGGACGAGATAATAAAGTGACTTGGTTGTTTTATCGATAAGAAGTCTAACTAGCTATATATTTATATAGCCACGGTTCAGACAGCTGTCATGTCGAGGTGGCAATAACAGGTGTCGACATGACACGTTCGGACATCATATAAAAAGCCAAATATTCCACCAAGCTTGTTGAAACATACATATAGCTACATGTAATCCCAATCCTAGAGCCCTAGGATCAAGTACTACTTAGTATGTGGCTGTCACAATGACTTATCAATAATAAATAGGAATCGTCCGGGATATGTGTACTTTATAAGGATACATACTCTTTGTCCAGACAGTATCCTTATAGCGAGAGTAGTCAATGAATTACATATCAAAATCAATCAACTATAGCGGGAGTCTACTTTATAAGGATACATACTTTTTTATCCAAACAGTATCCTTATAGTGAGAGTATTCAATGAATTGCATATCAAAATCAATCAACTATAGCGAATGCAATTAATGAATTAAACAAAAAAAAAATTATAGCGAGAGTCTACTGTAGTAATCGAGCGAGTGATACCCCATGACGCCCCCCCCCCAAAAAAAAAAAAAAAAAAAAAAAAAATTTAGTTTACAAATTTTCTCTCAGCTCCGGTCTATGTGCATACTACAAAAAAAAAAAAAAAGAACAAAAAGTACTGCAACGACTGTTAGTACGAAACCACACAAGCTGTTACTACTCCCACCCCCGGTTTGATCTCAGGACCTTGCCCAAACACGCGGTGTCTAACCCGACGAGCAGTCTAAACCATTAGAACACTCGCCCATGTTTGGTATCTGGCCGGAAGTGGTATTTAAAGCTAGCTTGGCAATTTAATACGCCAAGATAAGGAGGATACTTGAACTCCCCTACACGTGCATGTAACCCTTCGATTTTGATATGTAAGTATTCAACCCATATATTCGCGCTCATGTGGGCATCACTCTGATCAGCTGGCTTTCATATTCGATCGAAGCTCTGCATGCAAATGATCAAATCCCAAGCCAGAGGCGCAATAAATCAATTGGGTGTTTTACGTTCAACAGTGCCACTTAGGGAGACTATTAGTACCCGATCTGATGCTGCATCAACTCATAAGTACTCAGTGTACACCTTGAGACTGGCACTCTGGCCCCTAGATACTTAGTCACGCTGTATCGGTCTTTGGGAATGGGTGGTTGTCCCCCCATGACGCCGGTGATATGGGCTGCTGCACTGTGGTTGCAGTGGTCTATGGGCGTATATATTACGGAGCTTGGTAGAAGCTGCTTGACTTGATATGTATACAGCTGAGCTCTCTCATCGAGCCGCCTTAGTAGCCTGAACCAGTAGGCTAGACTACAGTCATTACCCAGCCCCAGCCCCGGGTGTACCTTATGCCCGGTAATAACATCATCCTACTTTACAAATCCTCCGCACGACACGACCAATGATCACCAACACAAACGCGCACGAACAGCCACACACACACACAAAAAAAAGAAGAACAACTAAATTAATTTCTAGCTCTAGCACATATAACCCCAGTCATGTCACCTACCTCTACCACACACCTTTGCCCCCCTTCCCTCCCCCCACACGCATGGGAGCAAAAACGCTACACATGGTTCAATTTTTACAGCAAAAAAAGTGGCAAGAAACAAAAAGTGGCACAGATACTAACCCGCATATACTGCTCTTCGTGCATCCTCTCTACCCTCCCGCGCTCCCCCGCTCCCCCCCGGGTCCTGTTTCCCTTCCTCCGCCCATTATTACAGCAGCAGTAGATCCCCGCCCGTACTCGGCGAGTACAGATCCTGCGGCACACCCTGACTCACAACTGTAACGCGCACCGTCAGCACAAGTCACCCTAAGCAACCACAACCACCACCACAACCTCCATCTACTCTCTCTCCCCCGCCCCCACATCCCCTCGCACCACCAACAGCTAGTAAAACACCGCTCTCCGCCCGCTCTCCAGCTTCTCCCAAAATCTCTCCTCGGAATTCACAAAAGACTCACCATACTGCCCACCCCCCTGCACCGGCCCACCCCCCACCGCAAACGGGTTATTCCCTACTCCCCCGCCCACCCCCGCAAAATAGTCGTCCGCCTGATCCACCGCCTCCCTGAGATCCCCTCCCAACAGATCCACCCCACCGCCCACCCCACCACCACGTCCCACATCGCCCCCACCGCCCCCCATGCTGCTCATCGCCGCCCGCGCCGCCTCCTCCGCAATCGCCGTCGGCAGCATATGCTTCTGCAGCGCGGGCGAATCCGTCAGCCGCTTCGGCCTTGCCGTCCTAAACACCTGGTTGACCGGCTTCAAGTACACCGTCGCCAGCGTGCCCACATTCAAACACATCTCCTCGAGCGTCGCAGGGTCCAGCTTCTCCGTCTCCGCCGTAATCGGCGGTTTCTCGCCCATGACGATCTTCTTCGCGGTCGCTGGATCGGCCGACAGCAGCCGCCAGTACATATACCCCCTGTCACGGAGGTCCGGGTTATCGGTCTCCTCCGTCGCCCATTTCAGCACCTTCGGCACGAGATCCTGCCCCTTCGTGGGCCGCTGGATGAACAGCTTTACGGTGGCCGTGAGCAAGGCGAGCTGCACTTCGACGGGCTCGTCCGCGAACGAGAAGAGAAAGTCCTCCAGCAGCACGTCGCTGTTCTCGATGCGGTCGGCGTATTGGCCGATGACCCAGATCATGGCGGCCTTTGCCTCGGGCTCGTCGAGCGAGTCGAGGTTCTCGCACAGCGTGCTGATGATGGACTCGTACTGGTTGGGGTACTTGCGAAAGATGTTGCGGATCACGACGGTGGCTTCTTGGACGATGTAGGAGACCTTTGTGGACACGAGCTCGAGGAGCGTGTTGATGCATTGGCGCGCGGCGGGCTCGATCTTGATGGCGAGTTTGCCGATGGCGCGGACGGACTTGCGGACGAAGTGGACATCGATTTCGGTGGCGTATCTAGGGCGTGTTAGTATAAGGTGTGGGTAGAGGGGCTAAGGACTGGGGATAGAGGAATGAGGAGTCCCGGAATATATAAAGCGGGCACGAGAGGGGTATCAAGAACACAAGACACCGCTCCAACACAGCAAGGAGAGCAGCAAAGCCCGCCCCCCAAAGATAAAAACACAAAAGCACTTACTCCCTCAACTCCGTCAACACCTCCTCGATATTATCCTCATTCGCCAGCATAAAGATCAACTCCAGCTTCGTGACCTTGACATAGATAGGGTCATTATATTTACAGAAGAACACCCTGATATCGTTCCTCAGCACCTCCGGCCTGCGCTGCAATATCAGCAGCGCGTTCCTCAGCGCAAGATACTGCACCTCGGGTCCCTTTGCCAGCAGCGTCACCAGCGGCGGCGACAGCTTGCGGCACAGCGCTGAGATCTCTTTGGCGTCGGAGATGTAGTTCATCAGGTAGAGGATCACGCGGATGCACGTGAGCACCACGGACGAGTTGGAGTGCTGCAGGCGCGGGGAGATGCGCTCGGCCATGATGGAGGCTTCGTCGGTGGTCTGTGGGACGTAGGCCATGAGCGCTTCGAGGATGTAGGTTTGGCCCCATCTATATCCGTTAGCGGAGTTCTGCACAGCTACTATTGATGATAGGAGGGGGCCGAGTGCTGGCATATGATGCTACCACATAACCCCTCTCCCAGGTGAGTGATCCCCCATGACGCAACACAAGCCCCCAGAAAAAATCAACCACTTACTCCGAGCAGTCCGGCAAGATCTGCACAATCTTGCTCGCATTCGTGTGATCAATGGTCAACTTGATATTCTCATTCCTCTCCCATATATCCATGAGCGCCACCAGCGCGCTGGCCACCACAGTCGAATTATCGTCCTTGAGCAGGCCATTGAGGCCCTCGATGAGGCCCTGAGCCTGCGCGGTGCCAGCCACGCCCTTGCCCGCGGAGCCCTCGACGAGCTCGCGGTCGTGGTCGTAGAGCTTCGCGACGCAGAAGGCGGCCGTCTTGCGGACGTAGGGGTCGTTGTCGCGGAGGAGGAGGCGCAGGGGCTCGACGGTTGCCTCGATGAACTGCGGGACGTGGATGTAGGACATTGTGCGGAGGGCAAGGGCGCGGACGAGTGGGTTGGGGTCTTCCATGTCGCTGATGAGGATTGGGAGCGCGCGTTGGGCCATGTCGGGTTTGACGCGGCCGTAGTTGACGAGGAAGAGGAAGCACCTGGAGGGGGGGTCAGTATAAATCTACATGTAGTGTCTCGACATGTGTGGTGAAGACAGGACAGACATCTTCTTGATCTCGAGCGTGGGGATGGTCATGCACTGGATGACGTCCGGGAAGAGCGCGGCCATGTCGTTGTTGCTCATGGTCATGTTTGCGACAATCTTCTTGAGGGCAATCTTCTTGCGCGAGAAGTTCTTGTCCTTCTTGTCGCTGTTGAGCTCAGCGCGGAGTTCGGCTACTTTGCCCTGGTGCCATTGTCAGTTTGAATTATTTTTTTTTATTTTTTAATATTTTGGTAGGAGGGACGAACCCGAGCGAAGAAACGTGCATCGCCGCCGCTGGCCATGGTGGTGGTGGTGGTGGTGGTGGTGAGGTGGACAGGTTACGGGGTATTTGGAGAGAGATAGAAGGGTAGGTAGAATAGATAGATATTAGATAGATAGACAGAGAGATAGACAGAGAGATAGACAGAGAGATAGACAGATAGACAGAGAGAGATAGACAGCAGAGATAGAGCACAGCAGATATGTAGATACAAGCTCCCAGTCAGTCAGTCAGCTCTGCACCAATCGTGTTTCTTCCTGCTCCACAGCGGAGAGCTCTCTCGCACATCCGACGCAGCGATGCTCAGTCAGTCCCGGGGAAACTAAGGGGTGGTGCCAGTTCCGCTGACATAAGCATCCCCCAATCCGTGCATAGCTGGTATCTACGTTCGAACCTCACACCTCACCTCTCTGTCTGTCTTCTTCACCACCACCACCAGCACTCCTCGCAGTCTGCTACCACTCACACCCTCTCACTCGTTATATACCCGCCCTACTACTACTCCTACTACTACTACAAGCACAGCTGCAAATGGCACCCTCAGGCCCCCCCCGTCTCGCACCGCTCCCCAGCCCGCAGTGGGTCATCGACCTCAACAACCTCCCCACCCGCCCCAAGCCCACCGGCACCACCCCCGACCCCCCCGGCTTCAGTCACTCCCCTCACAAGACCGTACTTCCCCCCTCCCTCCCCTTCCCCCCACCCCACAACCACCGCTAACCCCCGTTTCCAGAAACCCGGCAGCAAGCCCACCCCCGCGCCGACCCCCATCGAGACCGACGAGCTCTTCCTCAAGAAGGCCTGGGAGCTGGCCCTCGCGCCGGCAAAGTCCATCCCCATGAACGCAATCATGATGTACATGTCGGGCAACACGCTGCAGATCTTCAGCATCATGATGACGGCCATGCTGTTCATGAACCCGCTCAAGGCGCTGTCGTCGGTGGGGGCCACGTTTGCACGGTTCGAGAATGAGCGCACGAGGGGCAGGCTGTGGGTGGTGAAGATGGCGTATGTGGGGCTGCAGGTGGCGACGATTGTGCTGGGCGTGTGGAAGGTGAATGGGATGGGGTTGCTGCCGTATGTGTTCTTTCCTTGTGGTGTATGGGTGTGATTGGGGCGCTTGGGGACAGATTGCTAATTTGTGTTTGGGGACAGGACTACACGGTCGGATTGGCTGGCGTGGGAGAGGGAGCGGCAGCCGTTGGAGTATTCGGCGGCGGCGTTTCAGTAGCGTCTTTTCCTTAGGGCATGTGATACGATGTGAGTAGTAGTGAGAAGGCGGGGGGGGCGGTGAAAAATGTGAATGTGATGATTGTGTGTTTTCGTCCTATCTTCTTTTCTTTTTTTTCTTTCTTACTTTCGTTTGATGTGGAACTTGTCTTGTGTGGGCGGGGCGAGAAAAAAGAAAGGAATGAATGGCAGAAATGGGATTGGCGATTTGATAACATTGACCTTTGTGCGAGTGAGAGTGAGAGTGAGAGTGAGAGTTTGGGTGGTGAATCAATTGTGGCATTGTGATGTTTGTGTGCTTTTTATTTATACTGAAAGTAATACTGGCACTAGTATTCCTACGGTAGCTACTATTCTAAGTAGCACTACTATTCTCGTCTACAGCCCTACTACTACAACACTGGCTAGTACTATCCCACCCTAACCCACACCCACCCACCCACCCACCCCATTTCCAACCCCCCAATCATTACCCTCCCCCTCTACAACTTACTAACCCCCCACCTCGGCTCCCTCCCCTCCACAAAGCTCCTCAACCCCTCCTTCACATTCTCCCCCCCCTCAACACCCTCCCCACACCCCCCCACACCCTCTCCACCCCCTCCTTCACCCCACCCCCCTCCCACGCACTCCTCAACCCCGCCCGACTCACAACCACACTCTCCGGACTACACCTGCACACCCTCCCCGCCAGCTCCACCGCCGCCTCCACCACATCCTCCCCTTCCCCCACCACGCGGTTCACAATCCCCCACTGCTGCGCCTCGGCCGCGCTGAGTACACGGCCGGTATACGCGAGCTCGCTGGCGCGCGGGAGCCCCACGAGCAGCGTGAGCCGCGGTAGGGCGCCGGCGAAGGCGGCGACGCCGATGAGCGATTCGGGGAGGGAGAAGGTGGAGGTGGGGGTGCAGAGGGTGAGGTCTGCGTTGAGGGTGAGCTCGAAGCCGCCGCCGAGGGTGAGGCCCGAGATGGCGGTTATTATGGGTTTTTTCTGGGGCGGTGGGTTAGCTGTGAATTAGAGGGGGAAGGGGAGCGGGGGAGGGGGAGCGGGGGCTTACGCCGGTGCGTTGGGAGAGGCCGGCGAAGCCGCTGGGGGGGTGGGAGGGGCCTTCGGCGGCGGTGGTGGATGTGGGGGTTTTTAGTGAGGTGTGCCATTCTGGAGGGTGTTAGTAAATGTAGTAGTAGTAGAAATATTAGTAGAAATAGTGGTAAATAGTAGAGATAGAGTTTGACGGTAGTTAGAAATAGTTAGAAATAGTAGGTATAATAAACGGGTGTTAATGGCAATAAATAAATAATAGGAGTAGTAGAAGTAGTAAATGGTAGGTTAGATAGCAATAGTCGAGATAAGAGATATAATAGTAATTAGTAGAAACAGTAGTAGTAGCTTTGAGTAGCCAGTTCTCCATGCAAACAGTACTAGCAGCCCGGCCATAAACGGCAAGGAGCCTCTACCAATCTGCCACCAATCCCCAACCACCCAATTACTCCTCCCGCCCCACCGCACAGCCAGCTCCCACCCGGCCGGCGACAAACACAAACACAATCCCGCACCCGTCTGCACCAATTCCATTCCGCCCCCCCCCCCCCCCCCCAACAACAACAACCATCCCTCCCACCTCACAAAGAAAGAAAGAAAAAACTCCACAACATACCTTTCAAATCCTGCCCGGCACAAAACGCCTCCTTCTTCCCGCCCTTTGCGCCAGTGACAATGGCGCACCTGAGCGTGAGCTCGCTGTCGTACCACTCCCACAGGTTGTGCATCTCGTGGTGGCCGGCCGTGTTGATGCAGTTCATGTGCTGGGGGCGGTTGATGGTGACGAGCAGGATCTGCGGCGTCGGGAAGGAGATGAGCGTGTAGACGAGGGGTGGGGGTGGGGTTGTGAGCGCGGGGGGAGGGCGGTTGGGTAGGTTGTCATTTTGGATATGGTGGAATTGGGGGGAATTGGGGAATTGGGGTGGAATTAGTGTAGGTAGAGTGTTTGGATGTCAATTGGAGTGTGGGTATGCTGCTGTAGTTAGTTAAAGTGGTTGGACGCCAATTGAATTGTAATTAACTGTAGTTGTGAAGTTTGAGCTTCTGTGTCGTGGTTGGGAGCTTGGATAGCTACATGAGCTGTGGTGCTTAACTTATTTTATATCGCATCTCGCTATAGCTCTTTACCGCACTAGTAATCGCATAATCCGGGGTAACAAACAAAATAGTGTGTGGGGAACACAAGCCGAGGCTAAGTGCACCACCCGCCGAGGCAACAATTGCAGCGTGGGGTGGGTGCCGGGTGGTCGTGGGTTAGGGATAAAGAAATGATCAGGGTGCGGGTAAATGGTGAAGGGCCCGGTTTGAGTTTGTTTGTGAGGGGAAATGGCAGGGGCGTACATGTACTTACAGTGGAGGCTGCTTGATGCAGTTGATTGATTGATTGGTAATTCATTGATTACTTTCATGGGTGCTGGATAGTTACATGTGGTTTGTATGTTCGGTGTTGTGCGTTTTTGATGCTGAGTGTTGATCAATTGAAGAGGGTGGGGGGGGGGGGGGGGGGGGGGGGGGGGGGGAAGCTATGCTTTCTTTGTAAATATTTAGTTACATGAAGTTTATTGCAATTGCACATACTAATTCAATCACAAATACGATCTCTACTGATAACTATCAAAACCAAACCTATAAAACCACCCATCTCCCTCCCCCCATACCATCTCCTCCTCGTCATAAAACACCATCCCCTAGCCTATATATACCATCGACTCCACAGCTATATATATACACCACCGTATCACCAGCTTTTCACCTAGATCTCTCTATATCTCGAGATAACTACCGCAAATTCTTGCGATCACTATGATTCAATATCAAGACAAGAATATTTTAAATCTGCGGCATTGATTTTCCACCCGTGGGAACACAAACATATACTCCCACGATGACACTGTATTGTGATAATGAAGCCTGCATAACGGCTATTGGCGACGGTGAGGTTAAACCGTCACCCAAGTAGTTCATATCATTTATACACACCAACCGCTAGAGCCCGCCGCTGTCCCCAACATCCAACTATAGATCACGCTGCTATCTGCTCAACGACCTAGTACCTGCACTCGATCAGGAAGCGCAAGAGACAGCATCCTACCCTATCACCAAGCATAAAACCCAAACCCGAGCCCTAGACAATGTCCGGCTCCTAGCTACGTCTCGGTATTAGTATATAAAACTACGTATATCGGATACGATTGCGCCGTAGACGGTTACGTCGCACCTCGCAATGACCACTCCCAAATACTTCGATAATTAGTGCGTGTACATACATAGCCAATGACACATACATCAATCTTCTCTTTCCCTGGATTTTCCTCGCAGAATGCATACACATGCATAGGATCGATGCTCCGGTATATAGGAAATACGAAGCAAATGCATAAATACCGTCTCCCTCTCCGACAAAGTCGCTAAAGATAATCGGCTGTACCATGACTCGCACACCTATTATTTCATCCCTACTCAGAGCTGCACCAGTACACCAGATATCAACCATGTGCGCGCTCATGGCCACTAGCGGACATCACTAATAGACTACCTCTGCGTGCCTCCGCCGCGCACACACATGAAGAAGACCTTCGACTCCGCATCATAGCTCATCACCCGGCCGGCCATTAGCGGATATCACTAATAATGCCTGCTAGCTCCTCTGTGCTGGAACCGGGTTCCATAATTGTTCGGGTCGAAATTCGTTATTTCTTTCCAGAAATTCTTTATTCATTTAAATTTTATTTTTCGTTATTTCTTTTTCTTCCCTTTTTCTTCATTTCTTTTTGCCAGTTTAATTTCCTTTCATGCCCGGATATTTCACATTATGACATAATTTCATTGTATTTTCGGATTATTTCACTTTCCAGAACTGTCTCTACAGTGCTGCTGAAATTATTTCACTGCTATATATATAAAAAGACATGCATAGGAAGAAAATCATAAATTATCATTCGTCATAATAATAAAAAGTGCCTTGTCACGTCTCCTATCTTGGACCCACCTTGACAAAGGCTGCATAAATTTCACTTTCTAGAACTCTCTCTACTATATATTCTGATCGAAGGAAAACCTCAACTCCGCATCATAGCTCATCACCCGTCGCCGCCAGGCTCAAGCACGGGGAATAGCCCAGCTACACTTATATGTACGTATATACATTCGATCAGCAGATCAGCCCGAGTCTTTGACTTTTGCATATTATGTTATGGATTACTAAGTAATTAGATCAAATATCGCACCTATTGTCTGACCGGTCATTCACTGTGTTCGTTAGGTAGATCCTCGCATGCAGGTTACCTAATCGCGCTGCGGGGTAGTTCATTTTTAAATACATTTCAGTGATATAAATTCAGTAAGGATCGATATCTACGAAGTCATCAATCTTACGATTTCAACCCGAAGGTTAAGAGACGCAGTTATACTACAACACTGGTAAGTAAAAATATCGACATACTATAAGTATATTTAAAATTAGAATACCTATCAATCAGCTGATGAAATGGAAGCAGACATCGGTCCAAAACTATAAATGGAATCCCTAGCAACACTATACCTAGTGGACAGTAGAGGTAACACAAAAGGACGAGGGATGATTTGTCCTTTTGAGCATATAGACACTTACGAAGTATGTGAAACTTTCACAGTTTGGGCTTTTATATATGTCATATACACTGGCAGGACTAGTCATTGTTAACCATTGAGCGAACTTTGAATACAGAAGCTTGCTACAACGCTGGACCTACTCTTCACAGCGGACGCGGCTAGGGCGGAGGAGGCGAAGTTTCAGGCTATGACAAAAGACCGTCTGGTAATCCACGAGAAGTTTTGGGGGGAGGTTGCTCCTATGTACACCCCTAAAGTGTTTTACATCGATTTTAATGAACCGGAGAAAACAAGTTGAGCCAGGGAATTTAAGAGACACAATTTCATAGGCGATCTATGTAAACAATGGACATATACATAGCAGCTACCTTCGAACAATCGTATTTCAATGTCTCGGTCTATCTTGGTTGGTCCGCATGAGCTATATAGATATGTATGTATATATGGGGAATATATATTCAGGCTCGTCCCTAGACGTTACTATTATTGTCTACATCGCAAAAAAAAACTCCGACTATGGCTCCAGTGGTTGTGGATGTAACGGTGGACGAGTTCAAAGCGAGCTCGATGTGGCAATACCCGATCACTCTCGGGTTGCCGGGAGACGACGAAGTAGTCAGCCTAGTGGTTGATCGAGGATGATGCAAGTGCGCGCGTTATATAATTGTATGTACTACTTCGAAAACCTAGAGGTATTCATCAAGCCAACAGATGAGGCATCCACAGCTTCTACCCCTCGCCCCGGCCATTAAGGCATAGGTCCAGCGCCTCCGCTGTACACCTCGCGGTAAAGAAAGGAGAGTGTGAGCACAGCAAGCTGCTTGCCAGTGGTATGGTTTTGTTTGCAATGAACCCCAGACTCTCTGCCAGGTACGAAAATACGAACGAGAAAGACGAGGAATTCCCAATGGAGGACACTGCCCAGTTGACAGTGCCGTGGTGTGTACGTGTTATGGGGGTGTTGCGAGATCGCTTTTGTGGGCTTTCTGCAGGATGGCTAAGTTTGCATGGAGATCAGTACTTTGATAATTATTACTTTTGGGCTTCGGAGAGCGCAGTTCCCTGCTCAATGGCTCTGCCTTTCCGGCGGAGGAAGAATCAAATGAATCATCCATGGACACAGATACCGACGAGGCCCCAGCCATTGCGGTTGAGGCTGAGGTAACAGTATCATAGAGTAAGAAGAAGAAAAGTCAGTTCTCCAATAGTACCTAACCTTGATTCACAAACCAAATCCGCGGGTAACACCGAGGGGAATAACAGCTGTGGTATGTGGGATTGGTCGATCTTGACCGCGTGGACCACCCAACTCCTTGGGACACCGTGTACCGGCCGGTCTCGTGGATTATTAAGATACATTGATATGTGGATTTATGGGCGTCTGTTTGGCGGGCGCGAGGGGGGGTTCTTCCTTCTTTCCTCGAACATCTTATATATATGCTTATAAGCTTAGTCGATATCGCCATTTCGTGTGGTGTATTGAGGAAGAGTTATTGCATGGATTGTAAAGTACGTTTGCGTCATGGATTATCACCTTATTGTGTTTTTTTATTGTCCTCTATAATATAGTCGACCAGATAAGTGCTAGAACAAGGTTCGGGAAGAACAAAAGCTGGCCAATGAGTCGTCTGATTTCCCCGTTTTTCTTTATAATTTGTTTATTCTTTATTTTTCTTAGATTTTCCTTAAATGTGGCTTGCATAATTTCATTTTCGGGAACGTCGTCTGATTTATTATAGTAGATTGTAAGGTTTAATTCCGGATCTATAAAAACAAAGCCAAGCACGAAAGAATAATAACAATCATCGTTTTTCAAAGTACAAGAGTCGTGCCATATGCATCAGAGTTCCACATCCCTGTTGACAATAGGCACTCCTTTTGGCAGTCATATGTCGTGTGTGTCTTATAAATTCTTCTTATTCTGCAAGTCGTGTCTTTAGCTTGTAATTATATGGTCATTGTTTCCTTGATTGGCTGCTTGTGTCTTAGAAGCCATGTATGAGTCCGCAGTCTTGTGTCCTGCTTCTTACATATATCGTTCTGTGATACGGTGTTTGTTCACCTCCATTAACAGCACTATCGTATTATGGCCATGGAAAAAGCTATTCACTAATAAAACGACTCAGCAGTAGCTAGCCAGCCACATTGCTTTTCACGGAAAGCCACTTTCCTTATTGGAGCATATACTGATTTCTTTATTTTCTCTTAGTACTTCTTTATTTAACTAATGGGATTGTCTTCTGACAAAATACCCCAGTGAAACCAGACTGCTTGTCAGATTTCCAAGCCAAGATCTCTCGTGCCTATACTTCTTACGTCATCACAGAATATCACTCGATCGAGTCTCTGTATTACATATTGGCTATTTGCATGTTACAGTCGAATCGAGCCCTAGAGATGTAGACATGGCAAAATAAGATCAATATATTCTTCAAATACAGAGATCGTGATAGGGATATTAACGATACCTTCGTATATATCGAGAAGTTTGAGAACTATGGCTTTAAGAACCTGATTGATAATTCAGCTATTTTTGCAGGCCTTTCATCTCGTGCACGCCGGCTCCCCGAGTCTTTCTTTTCTTTAGTTTTGGTTTCTGGGGCCTGAGTATTATGTTTTCTTCATTGCACCTTCAGAATTTCCAGCAAAAACCCCAGCCAGGTCTCGATCTCATGCATGTGGTCGTTGTTTCATAGACCCCCTAGCCTGAGTTTTCCCTTGCTGGAATAAATATCATCGCTGGGTCTGTTATCGATCTCAAAGATACACTTTTATCGGTCGTTGAGTTAGTGCCACAGGTAACTATCAACGGTTTCCACGAAGTCCGTCCCGCCTTTAGCCCGGGTGTATGTTTGAAGTCATGACTCGGACGTAGACTTAAAGGAAGTTGGCCCAAGGAATTCTTCCCCCGGAAATAGGATAGAGTAACACTCTATCATCTCTCCGGAAGCTTTATCTGACGATACACCTATGACAGGAGGTTGTCTTTTATCGACGAGAGTTCGAGTTCGGTGGTAGATTCTCTGTGCCTGTGTAAGTCAGTAGCAGTGAGTGAAAGAAGACTAGTTCCCTAGCCCTTGCGATACATACATGTAGTAAGTTGAGAGAACCCTGAATATGTAGCAGCATATCTTATGCCCGAATAATCATAGGTCATCACTCGCTTATGAAATGTGAGCAAACTTGGTTTTTTTTAATGGCGCATGTCTAAGATCTAGGAGTAATTGAAGTTACCTTTGTTGTTTCCAAGGTTAACGTAGCGTCCGTGGGTATTGAAGCTACCAATGCCTGGTGAACACTTCAAACCGTGCATGAGGCCATCACCCAGCATGTGCGGGCATGCAGGGCAGAACTGCCCACCTCGCCTCACCTCGACATCGGTACCCAGAGAGACAACCAACCATTAACTCCACTCCCTCTGCTTCCACAACTGTGTACAAAGCGACGGAAGTCGCAAGGCCTGGTCTGGGCCCCAAATCGCCTCTGGGCCCCAAATCGCCTCTGGGCCCAGACCAGACCCCCAATACCCACAGCAGCCCAGCAAGCCCGCTGCCGACCCTCCTGTCGTGTTGCCCTCCGGGGGCTTTTTCCTTCTCTTTTTTTGGGCCATCTCCATGACCACAAAACGAACGGAGAAGAGTAGAGTCTGTAAGTTTTTCAGTAAATTCGATTGAGATGAAATAAGCTAATTAGAAATAGAAGATAAGCCACGACCTACACCCGCCTTTTCCTCCCTCTCCAGCTCTCCTTCGACCCCGCCCTGTCCTCGAAGACGAAGCCACCGCCTCACCCTCTCGCCGCGCCCTCGCCGCGCCATCTCTCACCCCCCACGGCCTTTCCACGGTCTCCGGCCGGGGGCGTCTGCCGCCCTCCAACAACTAGAAAGGTTCCGTTGAGGGAACGAATACCCTCAACGGAACCTTTTTTCTTTCAACTTGTTTTATCCCTGCCTTTATGTCTGGCTGGCTGGGCACCTGGAGTCGGAAGAAAAGAGGGACTGGGTCCCTCTTTTCTTTCGACTTGTTTTATCCCTGCGTGTGTGCGTGCGCGGTTGGTGTGGAGGATTGAAAAAGGGGGGGTATCGTCCCCTCCTTTTCTTTCGACTTGTTTTACCTGTGCCCCCGCTTCCTGGGGGCAGGGTAAATATAGATTTGAAGGTCTTTTGGGAGGAGGGGAGGGGGAGGAGAAGAAGAAGGGGAAGAAGGATAATGAGGAGGGGAAGGAGGAGGAGGAATGGAAGAAAAAAGGGATCTTCGGATCCCTTTTTTCTTTCGACTTGTTTTATCTGCCTGCGTGTGGGTCGGGGGAAGGGAAAGAAATCTTCTTTCTTTCGGCTTGTTTTAGCCTCCCTTCCTTCCTGCCCCTTATAAAATAAAAACATTTTCTATTTGTGTCTTCTTGTGAAAAGGTTTTCTTCCCCTCCCCCTTCTCCCTCCCCTTATGTTTCTTCCTCGCCTTCTTCTTCCTCTCCTCTTCTTTAATTCCGACGGGTACGTACGCAATGTTTCGATGTATAGACCACATAAAGATGCCCTTCTTTAGTGCTGTCTACATGTAGTAAATAGAGAACATATACTAGAAGTTTTCTTTAACAAACATAGTTACCTAAATTACCCACTATTGCTTAGACCTTCAGTTGATTGAAATGGCAATTGCTAGTCATATATGATAGCCCTTCTCTTGCTGAGCCCTAGTGTATTTACGTTGTACATAAATGAACATACTAACATGGACCCTCGTGCGCAGAGTTTTAATAGGGTTCCTATGATATATATGGTTGATAATTCTCATTATAATCTGGGCTGATCAGCCGAGAGATATTATGTGGGATTTCTCCTGTTCTTAGTTTGTCCGACTACTTAAATGAATATGTAAACATCTATCTAAGGCTATTCACGAATATACTACATACCTATGTAGTGTGTTTAATATCGAGACTCCGCCGTATAGGAAATGTGTCTTTCCTTATTATCAGGGCAAAAGGAAAGGGGAGGAGAAGGAAAAAAAAATACTTTGCATTATTTGTATCGCCCAGCAAAAAAAGAGTTCACAGCCTAGTGCTGCTACATCTCCTACTCTACGTCCGGAGGGGGGATTGAACGATCGTAGCTTTTTGTATAGCGCAAGACCCCTATACCGCTAGACCATTCAACCACCCCTATGCTTACTATGATTTTGTTGGTGCTTTTGTCTGTGTGGTTTGTGGACGAGTCGGCTCTTGTTTTTAAGCTAGCTTCAATGGTAATACCGCATAAGGGTGGCTCGAAGCCAGAATGGTTTTTACATTTGGTTAACCCGTTCCCATGGTAAAGTACGCACTTCATGCAGCAAAGAAGCTTCCGGGTTGCCGGTCCCACTCTGTACTTGTATTTACATATAGTAGTACCTGCCGGATTTTTTCGTTGCGTCCGACTCTTTTACTCCAGATCCAATAACTAACGGCAATCAGTCATGCGAGGTATATCGTGAAAACAGGCAACATACGAAGTAAAGCTCCTATTTCCCGCTGGTCTATATATACTCAACTATATATGCTATCGCCCAGATGGCACAGCTCGGCCATGGATCACCGATTATCACCCGCCTCGAACGTGCACCCAATTTCCTATTTTTTTTCTTTTTTTTCTTTTTGTTTAATTCATTGATCACCCAATTTCTTACTCCGGGCGATGATAACTTAATTAATCTAGTAATTTATATAGCCACTAGAAAGATTTCCTATGTGAAGGGTGATGTATGTGTATTTGATGGATATCTTCATGAGAATGATCGTACGGCTAGATCTAAATCACTTTAACTATACCTACATATACTTATTACAACTGAGGGCCTACTTTGCGCTGAAGCTACAGGTAATAAACTACGTCAACGTATATTGCCTGTTGTTGACCATGCGCCAGTGCACATAAATCTACCAAACCCGAATTACTAGCTGTAACTTTGTATGAGTGTCGAGTGTAGTGAAATTTGATGGTTTTATAGAAAGAACACGAGCATAATTAATTAAAAGGATTAAAATGTAAGAGAAGAGTGATAGGATGAATCTCGAGACCTCTGATATTTTTGACGTGTTGCCTAATTTTCAAATTTTAGATTCGGCAATACTTGTCGCCTATATCTCAATTCAATAAACTAGCTCTTTGTTTATCTTTATAAACTTGTTAGTTAAGATAATATTAATCTCTTAAAAGGCTTTTTGTCCTGCCTGCTTTCTCACGCCTCATCCTGCTTTCTCATACCTCATATCCAATCGTAGTTTCGAAACGATAACAGTTCCTGCATCAAGCACGGCTACACCTTCCCCTTTCCGCGGTAACCAAGCGGCGACGATCACCTCCCACCCCACTAGTGAGCTTTGTCTCAACCGGACAGGGACACACGTTTTCCTCCCCTTCTTGTTTACACAACAACCACCGCTACCCAACACCTTCACCCCTCCATCTCACCTCCATCTTCGACTCCATCCCAAAGATAAATCACCGCAAAACTTACTTCTAAGTCCTTAATCTATAAACCTCATCAGAAATGGTATATCTCCATCTCCGTCCCCTACACCTCCATAGCAAGCACCCCCCTATCCGAACTCACAGCTAACCCAACACTCCCACATACAGGCAACCACAAACTACAAAGAAGCCTTCGCCCTCTTCGACAAGCGCGGTAATGGCCGTATCCCTCTCACCTCACTCGGTGATCTCCTCCGCGCCTGCGGTCAGAACCCTACCAACGCTGAAGTTGAAGACCTGATCCACAACTCTGCCGCCAAGGGAGACTGTTAGTTCTTCTCCGTTCTTCCCCGTGGAATATAGGTAGCTGATGAGAATGCAGTGGACTTTGAATCATTCCTTAAGATCCTCAACCGTCCCAACGGCTTCCGTGACCCTGGCGAACCGGATGAGTTTGTGCGTGGGTTCCAGGTGTTTGATAAGGACCTGACGGGTTATATTGGTGTCGGAGAGCTGCGCTATGGTTTGTTTTGTTCCGTTCCTGAAGCTTAAGGGGAGGGGGGGGGAAACCAAACGAACTGGTTTTGGTGATGACCGAAATAGAATGGGAAATGGCTAATGTATATGAATGTGGACAGTTCTTACCTCACTTGGAGAGAAGCTTACGAATGAGGAGGTTGACGAGCTGTTGAAGGGAATGGATATACATGGGGACCAAGTTAACTACACGGATTTCGTAAAGATGATTCTTGCGAACTAGGTTAGGCGTGTTACTACGAGAATTTAATGAATAGACGAGCATGAGGAACGGGGAAATAGTAAAAGAGAAGAGGCTTGTTGTCTGGCGGGTACACCTCCCGAAACCCTGGCGGGGGAGGGTGGGTTATGTTCTTTTCTCTTTATCTCTTTTTCTTGGTTGGTTGGTTGCTGCTGCAAACAGTACTGGAGTTTTGTTGCTAAAGTAGTTCGAGATATCATTAAGCGGGTACATTTTTTCCACATTTACGCTTGACTTTACTTATGCTGCTATCAGTTCAACATGTGAAAAAAATGTTATGGTTGATTAACTCAATAACCCTCTCACCAACCAAAAAAACAAAAAAATGCTCATGATATCTTTCCTACTACCTCACCTACTTACAAAACCAATCAATCCACTCCTCTACACTCCTCTATACAACTCACGACACAGTATAATTGGTATACAAGAAAAGTTCAAACGCGACAAAAAAAAGGAGGGGGAAAGCCAACGCATTGCATTGATTTTTGTTATCGACGGGATTAGGATGGTATGGATAGCTTAGTATCCGTCCTTGCCCCACTTGTTGTACTTCTCGTGAAGTTCCTACCGCACACCACCATATTAGCATTCAAAGGCCTTATCTCCCACACAAAAGCAGACTAGAGAGCCATACCTTTGGCAAGTTAACGTTAGGAATGATCACGGAGTGCAAAGCGCTGGGCGCATCCTTGGGAGGGTTGCGGGCGTCACCGCCTGGGTGGTACTTGTACCTATTCATAATTAGCACTTACAATCCTTTCATCCGAATCACCAGTGAAGAAACATACTTGAAGTTCTCGCGGGCAGTAGTACCATCACCCTCTCCCTGCCATGGCATGGAGTTCTTGGCAACGTTGATGCGACTTTCCTCGGAGGTTGCGGAGGTGGGCTTGCGGCCTTTTGTAACACAGACTCGTTAGTAAATCACAATATAACACAGCATATAGAAAGGTATATGTTACCAAAGTAGAATCCGGCAAGACCGAAAGCACCAGACATGACGGCCATAAGAATCTACAACCCCAGTCAGCATTGAGTTGTTTCGGGCTCGGTCTCTCTCGGTGTACCAAAGTGGGGGTCGAAAAGCAGTAGTGGGGAACGCACGTAGAGTTCAGGGTCGCGCTTTGCGCCCTTCGCGAGAGCGGACTTTCCAACTTGGGCGGCAACTCCGGACATTTTGAGTGGAGATTTTTTCGTGAAGGTGAAGGTAGTTGTTTGGATGAATTGTAATGGGTAGGGCGGGCGGATGTGGTGGGTTTCGACGTCAGGTCATTAAAAGTCGTGAGATCCTGATTGCTCCGGGTGGCTGTGCGAGCAGGGTTATTGTGGCTAGATGCGGGAGGATTTGAGCCACGGGCATGGATACACTAAGGGTTAGGTTGAAGTCCCCGCTACATGCTCTAAGGTGGTAACTCAATCCTTGACAGGTGGGTTGCAGAAAATTCTTGTTGAGCCGCATTGTGGATTCAACTTTCTGGACTCGACTTGTCTTGATCACTACTACTGCTACGACACCAGATCAACGGCGACAACTACAGGAAGATACTAAAAACAGCTAGCAGTCATGGTAAGTACGCAATTGACTGGGAACTACGTACATATGTCTAACACTCTCAATTGCAGATCCGAAGAAATGCCCGTGAAAGGTAGACTTAAGAAAGCAGTATTCTCATGATGCAAGACTCTAGACTTACAACTACGATTGACATCTAGGCGCGATTTTATCTATCGCAAGCAACTTGAGCTTCAGGACGCCCAGATCGCTGAAAAACGCTCTGCCTTGAAAGCTGCTCTTGCCAGTGGAAAGGTTCATCCCCCCCACCTTCAACTCTCGCCCACCCCACTAACTTCACATCCACAGCCGCTCTCGAAAGAAATCGCCAATGACGCCAAACTGCGCAAAGACTTCAAGTACGACGAATCCCACACCCCCAACCCTGACGACGACGAAGCCGAAAAGCTCGACGACGAATACGCCACACTTTCGGGCATCGTAGACCCCAAAATCCTCATCACCACCTCGCGCGACCCCTCCAGCCGTCTTCTCCAATTCAGCAAGGAGATTCGCCTCCTTCTTCCCAACTCAATTCGCCTCAATCGTGGTAACACCATTCTACCTCTGCTCTGCACCTCGTGCCACTCTACGAGCACTAGTGACCTCATCCTCCTCCATGAGCACCGTGGTACTCCTACGTCACTCACAATCTCGCATTTCCCGCATGGGCCAACGGCGCTGTTTTCGCTCCACAATGTGGTGCTGCGCCATGACATTCCCGGGAGTAGTCGTGGGACGGTCAGTGAGAGCTATCCTCACTTGATCTTTGAGGGTTTCTCTACGCCGTTGGGTAAGAGGGTCGTGCAGATCTTGAAGCACTTATTCCCTCCCAGAGAGGCGGGGCGCATGAAGGAAGGGAGCAGAGTTGTTACATTTGCCCTCACTGAGGGTGATTATATCAGTTTGAGGCATCACGTGTACGTCAAGACTGGATACAATTCTGTGGAGCTCGCGGAGGTCGGACCAAGAATGGAGATGAAGCTGTTTGAGCTCAGGCTGGGAACAGTAGATAACAAGGATGCGGACTACGAGTGGAGATTGGCGAACTACACGCGGACGGCGAGGAAGAGGGATTTGTTGTAAGGAGGGCTTCGATCTACTACTTCTTCTTTTTCGGTCTCGGAGTTTTGCAATGGTTTTTTTGTCCTTTCTTCTTTTCTTTTTCTGTTACCAAGTGCGATGGGATGGGCGTAACAAAAATGTGAGGAGGAATGATTGTCTATATTATATTCATGAAATTTACTTGGATCTGCTTGCTCTGGGATACCGTTAATATATAGTGATACCGTGATACCAATGAAACGATGTTGACGGAATTTGAAGCATTTTCCCAAGCTGACTTGCCCGTTCTTTAATCCAGATCATTACTAACAAGATAAAAGTCTGGTACTGCAATAAGACCTATCAATCCACAGATTGTCTAGCTTCTGGCAAGCTTCAAGTATATGTAGGTTTTAGGGAGCGAAACCATCATGTTCTCTGGACAGTGGGAAACACTCGCTGGAAGCCAAACAGTCCACCTACATAGCTCCTTATCTCTAGCACCCTCCGCAAAAGAAGACGTCCTTAGACTGCAATTGACTCCAATCCCCGTTAGAGAGGTCGAGCTCAACATAATCCGAACCTTCCAAGTTTTAACCCACTCCCGACTCCACCAAGCAAGCTATTCAAGGCACTAAACTTCAAGCCCTACTCCCGGCAGCAGTCACAAGTGGCCATTTACATGTTTTGAAGGCGAAACGGTCTCAAGCCATGGCCTTCCAAAGCGCTACTTATCCAACTTAATCCCCAGAATTTATTAGTAGAGCTTACACTTTTAGCTCCCACAGAAAATGGTCAGCATTTTTCGGCAGTTTAAACGGTTTGGGGATCGAAGACAAAAATAAAACCCCAGCCGGTTAGTAGAATATGGCGTTGGATGAGCATGTTAGGGTTGGGGGTTACTGGGAGTGAGTGATTGTGGAGTATTTAAAGGAGCAAAGCAGCTACATGTGCCCATTCATGACCACACACTTACCAGCACAACACAATGCCACATCGTCAACCTCTCATGGCAACTCTCAACCCCACAGATGATGGAGTACCGATGCTTCGCACAGGCATCATGATATTCATCCTCCCCATCCCTAATTAAAGACAACGATCTTCTTTCTTTCTTTCCTGGCGGATCACCAACGCTCATTGCACAGGCTATACTTGTTTCCCCAGCGTCGCAGACGGGGGCTTCTGGAGAGAACTATCACCACCCGAATAGCCAACATTCTCATAAGCGTTCCTATCATCTAGTCTCCCCGGAACCCGAGACTCCGCTCGATAAAAGGAATGGCCGAATATGCGTTTCAGTACATCTAGCATCAGAGGTACTTTCAGGGCATGGACTGCCAAGTTCCGTACTTCAAACAAATCTTTATCTACCACTTCATCCATGGGAACAACGAAAAAATACAAATTATGGTTCATTGAGCGAGTGATCAACCATGATTCAATACTCCGTTAAGAGGTTCCTCCGAGAAAAATAAAAATCGTGCTACCACTTTATTAATCAGAAGATCACAGCGTTTTGGATTGTAGCTTCAAGCTTAAATATCAGAAGATACGAGAGAGAGGTTATCGATATCGAATCCACTCTTGATCAATTGATCATTGGATGATTACATTGAAACCAAGCTTCCTCCAATTGATGCTTCCGCCGCAACCACATCTCACTACAGTCTCTTGGGATAAATAGAGTGGCGATGGCCCAGATGCTACTAGTAAATTTCTAGCCATAAATTCAATCAAAATCTATTATATATGAAATAGAAGATCTATACTCAACAATACCGCCTATAGGCAAAGAAGACCCCGGGAGCACATACATGAGAGCAATACATCCTCCTCATAACTAAGACTACTATTTACCATCAATTCTCTTAAGCGAAATTTAGATGATTCAAGAACGACATATCCCATTCTTAGCTGGTGGGTACGTTCCCAAATCTCGATCGGTGAGTTTGAGTTTACCTGAAATTGAACCAGAGCCCCACCACTAGTTATCATGGGGCTAGCTATCATGGGCTACCGCCCGATCCTGGCCAATTTTAAGGCCTTCTGTTGTATTCTCTAGACCCTAGCTCAACAGGGGCAGGCGACTGAGTAAGACCCGTGGGGGGGGGGGGGGGCAGAAGGACTACGAGGAGGGCAGAAGGGAGACAGATCTAACGCAACTCGGCCCCTCCTGGTTCTTTGGCAGGAGCCTAAGGATAAAGAAGTATGGGTTTTCACAAACCCAGTATGACCGCCATGATAAAACTCACCGCGAATGAATGTTTCTGCGCATATATCGTCCAAGCATGGGAATAATACCAATGGGTGCATGAATCCCCTTTCGAACAGCATATCGGCACTAACAGGGGGAACGTTCTACTCAAAGATTAATAAAACCGCTTGCCGATTTATATGAGCAAGAAGAAAGGACAACACCCTGCTGTAGTAGGTACACATAGGGTTCAAGTGGAGAGTCGGAACGAAAGAGAGAGCTAAGTTAGCCCAGCACCGTCTACTGAGATTAGCTCTATAGGTCTTACCTGGGAGATATTTGAAATAATTCAGCACATATCATGGGAGATATGTTTTCATAACCTACCCTAGAAGGAATTTTCTCTATAGTTGGGTTGGCCATTAAGCATGTGTCTCAATAGTGCTTTACGGGCTGTATACCCTTAGAATTCTTTAACCCATAAGACAACATCCTTCGGTGATGTCTGCTACCCAGATTATCTTTAGAACAAGTATCTAGACCGCGTACGAGTTATATATTTTGTCTAGTCACCATTGAAGGGATGGACTTCACCGGCAAAGAGAACTGGGACTTGAAGGACGCCTAAGCAATATTAGTTAGGTGAATTCTAAGTATATTTGGAACCCTGTCAGAAGACTGTAAATTACCATATCCAACGATAATTACCTCCCGGTTTATATAATGACGGGTCTTTATCGCTACGCGAGTATATATCTAAAGACAAGCGACACGATAGATGCGAGAGCGGATCATGACATATCACTCGCCCGAAATCCCACCCTTCCCTGATCTGGCTATATTAAGTTACAATTGACCATTTCGGGTAGTTCTTTAGTGAGCAGAATGATAGAGACTCTAGGAATTCATTGCATCTACAATCGGCGACCAATGGAAGGTTTAAAAAAGCAAAGGCTAGAAACGATTCGGATCAGGGTGAATCCATTAGCTACAGAACTCGAACAATTGGGACCGAGTTTAGCTAGAAATACGTCACCGTTGCCTTGCTATCGTGACTGAAGAGAAAGTTGTTATTCAGATGGCCATTGGGGGTAAACTGTTTCCTACAATGCGTGTGCGCCCCATAGCACGTAAGGTAGGAATTAATTTTCCCGTGCTGCACTCAGGTGGGAGCACGGCTTTTCAGCTTGAAAATGTATTTCTAGGTTCTCTCCAGCCCACATGGGATGCCTGAGGCTCATGAGATCTCACTCGTTTGCTATCTTCGGCTAATGGTGCCAGCCAGGTACATGTAGAGCACCGGCCGGTACATACATGACATACCTACATGTGAAGCAGAATGCCGACACAACCATCGTTTTGAAATGTTGCGTGGAACCATGCGATGCGGGCCTGGTTGTGAAAAATTTCGCATCGCTTAGAATGTGAGAGTCCATATCACATTAATTCAAAAATTCAATTGAGCTTTCCCATCACGATTGAGTCGAAAAATCTATCGCTACATACATGCACTCAAACTAGACCACCATCCAAGCCCAAGCCCAAGCAATTGCAAGGAATTGATAGCATGAAGGATGGGACTATACTTAAAACGCCGGGTATACAGGCCTTCTACTCGTTCGATCTGGATTCATCCTTTCATATGGTAGAGTACATACATACGTAACTTCCTGCGTGAGTAGATTAAAGAGAGGGATTTTCACAGACGGGCAGACAGAAGATAGAGAGAATATGCGGACCATCATCCCTCGATTCCTTTGACATTGTGCGATTACATAAACAAAAGCCCTTCTGTGATGAATTGAATGCAGCAGCAGCAGGAGCCAGCCTGGCCCAACCAACCACCGTCCACCCTCATCCTCGCCCCCCCTCCCAAACCCCGGCCAGACCTTTCTTTCTTTCCTCTCATCCTCGCCCAGTGAGTGAGCGGGCCAGTGAGCCAGTGAGCCAGTGAGCGAGCGAGCGAAAGAACGAACAGAAGCACGAGAAAGAGAGACAGCCCAGCCAGCCCAGCCAGCCCAGCCCAGCCCACAGTGTGGATTTCAGGCAGCTCACCCACACGTCCTCGACCAATCCATTTGCATCTCCGGCCCCTCAGGAAGGAAAGACCCACGTAGGTCGTTCATTGTTGTGGATATTGCACACACCTTACCCAACTTACCCATCCCACCACTCACTCACACTCACTCCAGCTAGAGCAGATACCGGCATACAGCAAGCATACAGAAAAAAGATAGACAGACATACAGCAGCAGCATACAGACAGACTAGCTAACGTGTGCCTAGAGTTCGGTACATACAGCAGACGGTCCGACAGACATTCAGATCACACACATCAAACACCGCCATCGATCCCGTCCAATCCACACTCAGTGCACCCGCTTCCCACCACCACCATCACCCCCCCCCTCCACAATCACACCCCCCCTCTCCCTCCCACGCCCCCAGGGGCCCCCTACTTAGCCCCACATGTACGATTCCGCACGGGACTGCTTCACCGAGCAGCAGGTCGCAGAGCAAAAAGCACTTGCAGCCGAAGCCGCAACCCGAGCCGACCAGGAGCGAGAGCCCCGCCGCCGCATCAGTACCGTGGGCGACCTCCTGAGCCCCGTTGACGATGCCTCTTCTCCCCCAACCACGACACCAACTCTGAGCAAGCCCTCCTCCTCCTCTCCCCCAACAACAACAACAACAACCGCCAAAATGCCCGACTCGCAATCTTCTCCACCGCTGAAGCGGAAAGAGCGAGAACGCGGTGGGACCCCCCCCAGAGCCCGCGAAGACGACGCAAAACGCCGACGAGGAAACTCCCCGCACCACGACGACCGCCGAAGACGCCACGACC